AAAAAAAAAAAAACTTTAAAAAAAAAAAAAAAAAAAGAAAGGCCCGAATTATTAACATGGGCCAGGCTCTGTGCTGAGCACTAGGGATTCAGTGGTGACTCCAGACATAGTTGCTGCCCTCAGGCAGCCTGTGGCCAAGGGGGGTAACTGGCCAAGCTTGTACAAACTACCAGAACATAATGATACAAGAGCCATGACCACGGGAAGCCCAGGGGCTGGAGGAGCCACAGGCTGAAAGTCACCCTCCTTGAGAGGATCAGGGAAGTCTGCTCGGAAGAGGTGGCACGTGAGCTACACACAGGAGACAGCCAGGCCATGTGAAGCGGGAGGGAGAACATTCCAGACAGACAGATTGCATGGCATATGCAAAGGCCATGAGGTCTCTCAACAGCTCCACAGCACAGAAATGATCCTCATTTTACAGAGCCTAAAACTGAGCTCAGAGAGGTGAAAACACTTCCTGAGGTCACCCAGCAAGGAAGTGGCAGAGCTGGGATTTGAACGAGGGGCATTCTCCTTCCAGAGCCTAAGAAAACCTGATGAACTGAAGGGGAGAGAGAGTGGGCACCAAGAAGAACCCCGGGTCCCCACCAGGGCTGGGTGCAGACGTGAGGAGGTGGTGGGAAGGACCACAGCCCCCTACCTCCGCCCCAGCTAGGGACTCCCGCAGCCCCACCCAGCAGGAAGGACGGTACCTCCATCAGGTCTATAAGCCACAGCAGCCGCTCCTGGGGAGGGGGGTGTGTGCAAAAGGCAAAAAAAAAAAACAAAACATCAAATAAATATTAGGGATGGGGTGAGCACAGCAAACCCCTTCTCCAAACACACGAGCACGTGTGCAAGACACACACACACATGCACACAGGCAAAATAAACACGATTCTCCGAATCCCTTTTCTCTTTGCTTTGAGCACTTTGGGCAGGAATGAAGTAGGGAGGAGGAAGCAAAGGCCCCGCTGCTACAACCAGCACTGCTTCACTCTAACCGCCTCCTAGAAGGACACCAGGGTGTCCTCACCACCCTGCAGAAACGACCCTTGTCCTGGAGAAGAGACTTCAGGAGACGGTCATTCACCTGGGCCAACCCTGGGACTCTCCAGCAGGTGGAGTTGGGATCATTATTCTCATTTGGCAGATGGAGAAACTGAGGCTCAGAGAAGGGAAGTGACTTGTCCGAGGTCACACCTGCTAAGGAAAGGCAGAGCCTGAGGAGGACCCTGCTTGGAAGACTCGATCAGGGAAGACTGGATGCAGGGAGGCCCCGGCCCTGTGGTGGCGAGGAAGCTCAGAGGCTGAGAAACGGAGCCCTGGGCTGTGCACGAGGAGGGCGCCCGAAGCGGATGAAGACTGGAGGAGGGCGACTGGCAGATCCTCAGCCCGGTGCTTTCCAGAAGCCTCCAAGAGTCTGCAGGGCCCTGGATTCAAATCCTCAGGGGCGTTCTCCCCAGCCAGGTTGAGGGAGGTCAGAAAGCAGAGAGGCTTCACCTGCCCTCGGGTGTGGGCAGCATTTCTGGGATGCTGGCACTAGGAGGGGGTTATTCGTCACTGAAGCCTCCCAAGAAGCTGGGAAAGCCACTGCCCCAGAGCAAGGCGGGAAACCGAGGCACTGAGGGCCAAGCCTGCACAGCCTGCTCTTAGAACCCTCCTCGGAGAGCTCACGCTGGTCTTGGTTAGTCCTAACCTGACACACATCTGCCGTCCGGTGGGTCACAGACTCTCCCAGCTGTCCACATCTCAGAAGCCTAGAGACCCCTCCCATTTGGCTCCCAAACTCCCTGCTCAAAGCCATCCCCTGGCCTTTCTGAGGTCAGCCTTCCCCAAGGTCCCCCAATCCGCAGAGAGGGTGCCTCTGGAGGGCAGAGTCCACTGCCGCAGCTGGGGCCCAGACTGGCTGGGGCAGCACTTCCCAGGTGCGAGAGAGACCCCTGGGCTGGGACAAGGTCACCAGGGGCCAGCGCTGATCTGGGGCTGAGACCCCTGCCTAGAGCCCTGTCCGGGCAGAGCAGCTACCCAGACTCCGCTAGCCCTGCTGCTTGAGCTGCCATCAGTCGCGAGAGCCAGCAAGGACCTCGGGCCGTTTCACCCATGGGGAAACTGAGGCTCAGAGAAGCCAGGGCTTACACCTAGATCTCCTGCCTCCCAGGCTAGAACACACCCCATCCCACCCACTGGATCTCTCACCCCCAATTCTAAAGGGAGCATCCCAGGATTACTGTACAGTGTGCAGTCCCCGGGGTTTAAAGCAGTGGCTCATGGCTCCTGAAGCCCCATGGGGACAATATGAAGACCAGGGGCCAGACCCAGAGAGACAGAGTCCCTTGGGCAGGGCCCTGCAGCCTGAAGCCGTGCCATATCTAAGCATGTGCACAGAGCCAAACATGCAGCCCTGGCGGGGGACAGCCTCCTCCCTGCCCCAGAAGCGATCTGCCAATCCCAACGCGTGACATCGCCTCCACTGCAGCCACATCCAGAGCCTGGAGGAACGCAAGGCGGCTTCCCGGGTCACCCCAGGGAGGGACGAGGACTCTGGGGGATGAAGGTGACTCAGGATGGTAGGGGTAGGAGGCAGAGGAGTAGAAGTCCCCCCAATAACTCAGATCCCCAGAGCTAAAAAAAAAAAAAAAAAAAAGTCACACTGGGAGTAGGAGTCTGCAAAGGAAAGGCGTGCACGCTCGGGGCCGCTTCCTGGTGGCTGCAGGCTCATGGAGCTCACCAACCACCTGCGTCACTCACCCTCAGAGCTCCTGCTCCTCCGGCAGGACAACTAACTGTCTGTCCCACGTCTAATTGAGATTCCACCCGTGAGAGCTCCCAGTTCTGCGTCTGGGAGCAACAGCGTTTAAGAAACGCGACTTTCCCTCTCCCTTTCCCTAGGAGAGCAGTGATGAATGAGCCAAAGACAGGACAGGAGAGCGAGGGGCCCAGCCTTCCTTGCCAAAGGCTCCTGGGATTAATTTGCCTCCAAGCATCCCAGGGGCAGAACCACACCCTGAGATGGACCAGATCCTTTTCTGGGGGGCTGACGAGTCTGGGGAGAAAGCCAGGCTAGGCAGACAAGAGGGTGGGTCTCGGGCAAGATTTGAGTCGCCACAACCAATACTGTGAATTCACTACCACGGCTTTTCATGGGGTCCTCCCACTGATTGTCATTATTTTTTCTATTTGTCTATGTGCCTGTGTTTTTTACCTTTCTCTCCAGCCTGGCCCCCCACACCGTGAGCCCTATGGGGCAGGGCCACATCTGCCTTGTTCATCAGTTGTCTCCTAGAGCCCATTCCCGGCATGCAGCAGGCACTCAACAATTAGGAGGTTTTTATAGGTGAAGAAACCGAGCTCCGAGAGACAGGGCGCAGAGCTGGTAAGAGGTGGTGCCAGACCCATCTCACTCCAAAGCCAGCATTCTAACACCTCCCCGGCCATCAGGCCAGGAATGGGCAGGGGCAGCTCACCCTGGCCGAGCTGACGGTGGTGGAGGTGCCGTGGCTGCCCGTGGACGAGCCCGTGTCGCTGTAGGAGACCGTGGAGTAGGTGTCCCCGGCCCCAGGGCCCGGGGGCTGCCGCGCCTTCATTGACTCAATCTCCCGCCTCAGCACCAGGTGGTCGAAGCGGTCCAGGTCTTGCGGGGAGATGGTGCCCCTCACCTCGGACAGGAGCGAGAACTGGAGGCGGGGGACAAAGGGGTCACTCAGCATGGAGCTCCACCAGCAGGGGGGACCGGCCCCCTGCTACCCCAAATGGCCTGCATGCAAACTTGACCACTGGCCTCCCCTCCTTAACCCTCTGCGGCTCCGCACTGTCCTAGGAGAAAGTCCAAACACCTTCGCCTGGGTGCCAGGCCAGCATCATCTGATTCCTGCTTCCCTCTCCAGCTTCCTCGCTTGCCTTCTCCTCAGCATCTCAGCACACGTGCATGACTGCAGCTCCCTGAACACACCAAGGAGCCCCCGGCCGTCCCTTCCACCTAGAACGCCTCCCAGCTCCTTTCTGGATCGTGCTTCCTCTCTTAGTCTTCCCACATGTAACCACTCCCAGTGGATTGAATCACTTCCTCCTCCATGCAGCTTCTGACCCTCCAAGAGACTTCCGCTAGAGCAGGGTTCTCAGAGCAGGCAGCACTGCAGCCACCTAGGGGCCTGTAAAAATGACCGGTGACTGAAGACAAAAAACAACAAATGCTGGAGAGGTTGTGGAGAAACGGGAACCCTCATTCGCTGCTGGTGGGAATGCAGACTGGTGCAGCCTCTATGGAAAACAGTATGGAGATTCCTCAAAAAATTAAAAATAGAAATAGCATATGACCCAGCTATCCCACTACTGGGTATTTATCTAAAGAACTCGAAATCAACAATTCATAGAGACTTATGCACCCCTATGTTCATTGCAGCATTATTCACTATAGCCAAGAAGTGGAAGCAACCCAGGTGTCCCTCGACTGATGAATGGATGAAGAAGATGTGGTATATATATACAGTGGAATACTACTCAGCCATAAAAAAGACAAAATCGTCCCATTTGCAACAACATGGGTGGACCTGGAGGGTATTATGTTAAGCGAAATAAGTCAGACAGAGAAAGACAAACACCATATGATCTCACTCATACATGGAAGATAAACTAACACACGGTCAGAAAGAACAGTTTGGTGGTTACCAGGGGGAAGTGGGTGGGGGGATGGGCACAAGGGATACATTTATACGGTGACTGACAAACAATGTACAACTAAAATTTCACAATGTTATAAACAATTATGATATCAATAAAAAAAAAAATTGAAAACAAGCACACACACACACAAAAAAGACTGGTGACTGGCTCCCAGCCACAGATGTGTGGCATTAACCAGCCCGGGGTGGGGCCTGGGCACTGCTTTTGAAGAGCAATCCAGATGATTCTAAATGAACACTCAGCATTGGAAGCCAGTGCGTTAGGCCCCAATCACAGGGGACTTTAATTGACTGTTTCCCGAGGAGTCTGAGGGCTTTGGGACGGGGGGTGGTCTGGGTCACCAGCCTCTGCCCACGGTTCAGTTTAGGCCTGAGTCCTTGTGGTTCTCAGGAAAGGACTGGGGGATGAAGGGAGGCAGGGAAGGACACAGAGCCCTCGAGAGCTGAGGCCAGGCCCTGCCAGCCCCCGCCCTGCCAGAGGAGGGGTGCGGGTCACCTTGGCGTGGGTGTTGAGCAGCTCACACAGAGCCATGACGAGGGCGTCCACGGAGACGCTGCCGAGGCGGTACTCCTCCAGGTAGTAGGCCATGGTGGCGCGCTCCTGCTCGCTCAGCAGATGCCGGGCCTGCTCCTCCAGCACCACGCGCGTCTGGTTCCCCAGGCTGCTCAGCGTCACCTGGGAGCCGGCTGGCCCCTTGTAAAACCCCAGCTGAAAGACAGGGAGACAGAGGCCCGGGGGTTCGGAGCTGCTCTGGAGCTGAGCGGCCAGGCCACACCAGCGACCACACCACAGAGGGGTGAGGTGGTCCCTCACGGTAAACCTGCAGGAGACGGGACCGATATGTTCTGAGTGTGTGGCCTCGTGCAGCTGCAAAGTGCTCTATGGCTTACGTGGCCCTTTTACATATGTGATCTCATCAGACCCTTGCAACCATGCCGAGTCGAGCAATACGATTAGGGTGCCCACTTTATTCTCTAGGTGTCAGTATCTCCCTTGGAAAATCGGGGATAATAGTAACTTTATTTCCAAAATATAGCTCAGATCTGCACGCACACACTCCGCCCCCTCCCGCCGCTATCTCTACTATCATCAGTTTCTTTTTTTTTTGTGAGGAAGATCAGCCCTGAGCTAACACCCATGCCAATCTTCCTCTTTTTGCTGAGGAAGACCGGCCCTGAGCTAACATCCATTGTCAATCCTCCTCCTTTTTTCCCCTTTTTCTCCCCAAAGCCCCAGTAGATAGTTGTATGTCATAGTTGCACATCCCTCTAGTTGTTGTATGTGGGATGCCGCCTCAGCATGGCCGGAGAAGCGGTGCGTTGGTGAGCGCCCGGGACCCAAACCCGGGCCACCAGTAGCGGAGCGCCCGCACTTAACTGCTAAGCCACGTGGCCGGCCCTATCATCACGTGGCCGGCCCTATCATCATCTTCTAAGACACCACCCAGTCTCCTCTCTTATCCCCTTGGCCTTTCCCTATCACCTACACAGAGCTGCTGGAATGATCTCGTAAAAACACAAGTCTCCTTGTGTGGCTCGGTGCTTAAGCCCTTCCACAGCATCCCATACATGATTTTAGGTTAGAAGCCAAACCTCTTATGTGGCCCACACAGCCCCGTGTGATCTGGCTGTCCCCACTGCTGTCAGCCTGTTCCCAACTCCCCCTGGCTCACTACACTCCCTCCCGCTCTCCTTTATTCCAACAAGCCGAGCCCTTTCCGTGCCCCGGGGCTCTGGCACATGCTGTGTCCTCTGATGAGAACCCCCCTCCCGCTCCTGCACCAGACTTTGATCTCGCTAACTTCTATCTAACATTCGGTTCACAGCCCAGATATCACGTCACCACCTCAGAGGGCCTCTGCCCTCCCTCTCCCTGGCCCCGCCACCCACATTAGGTGTCTCATCTGTTATTCTCTCTCCTGATACCCTGCACCTTGCCTTCATGGCACTGAACATCTTTTGTGATGAGGTATGTGTGGAGGCTTGTTGGTTTTTGTGTGTGTCTCCTTCCCGGGGTGTAACCTTCATGAGGGCAGGGACCTGCTCTGTTCTGTTCGCGGCCCTTAACCCCGGTGTCCGTGGCGGTGCCTGGAACCTGGCAGCACCCACAGACTGGGGAACGGAGGGTGCACCGACAGTCAGCGGGCCGCCCCCATGCAATGAGATCATGGAAGGGAGTCGCGTGGCACACTGCTGGGCTCACAGCTTCCCGTGCGGGGAGCTACAAGGAAGCCAAAGCTTCCCACGGACGGAGAGCACCTACCTTGTCTGTCCCTTCAGGTATGAGATCCCCAGGAAACCTGTGAAGAAAGACAGGCACGTTCAGCTGCAGTCTGCACAGGTCACACAGGCGCCAGCTGGGGAAAAGCGGATTTGCAGCGGGATGAGCAAAGCTTTGTGAGAACCACGGCCTCCACCTGCCGGGGCTTCTCGAGGGACTCTGAACCCTGCACAGACGGGCGGCTGCCGGCCTCCCATCAACCATGCAGACAGCACTTCTAAAACCACGAACAGTGGACTTCCAAGTTGTTTCCAACCCTACAGGACCAGGCGGGTAATGTGAGGACAGAGAGAAGAAATGACAATCGATGGGTGGCCTCAGGTCGGGCGGATCGAGGGAGGGTGGGGACAGGGGTGATCAGGAGACCCTGAGATGCAGCTCAGCTCCAGCCGATGTTTTCACAAAAAAAAGTGGGCTCAAGGTGCCAGGATTCCTGATGTGTAAGAAGCAGCCAGAAATCCAGTTTTTTATGGGAAACCTGATATCTTTTTAAATACTGGCAACTAATTAAAAAAATTTATAATACTGTACAGGTGAAAACAGAGGGAGGGAGGGAAGAAAGGAAGAAAGGGAGAGAGAAAGAGAGATACTCTGGGTGCAGTTGGCCTGGGGGCCACCAGCCAGTCTGAGACTTCTGATGGAAATCCAAAAGTGACAATTATTAGCAACTATGCAGCCACCTGGCCACTCTATCTTACTTTGTGACTTCCCAGATCTTTTCCCCCAGGGTAACTCATAGGATCCCCATGAACAGATCTGGGATGGAGGCAGGGGTTATGGTCCTCGCTTTTCAGACAAGCAACTAAGGGCCCAAAGATAAGTTAAGTGATTCCCGAGGCAAATAAAGGAGAGAGCTGGATCATGCAGTGCAGCTTTCCGAGGGACACTGAGGCCAGGAGAGGAGAACGGATGTGCCGTGGTCACCCCCCACCAATGAAAGGGGCCCTGGTTTTGGGACCCCAGGCTCTGAGAGCTGGTGCATCTTTACAGATCAGGGCATGGTCAGGGGATGGGAGGGGGCCACCCCTGGCTTTCAGAATGGCCCTGGGATCCCGGGGCTCTGAGCGAGCAGTGTGGCCAGACCCTGCCAAGTTCGTGGCGGTGTCCCCAATCCGGGAACTGGCAATCCACTTGGTCTCGTCCACGGTGGTGCGGGCATGGGGCAGCCTCCCGACGTCCTTCACTGTCAGGATGAGGTGCTGGGAAGACTTGAGCATCCTGACCGCTTCGTCGTGCAGGATACTGAGAAAGCTCTGCCCATTCACCTCCAGAATCTGGTCCCCAACCTGCCAAGACCACCACACAACAGTCACCTGGGCTGTTTATAGGACACCGACTCATGCTAGCAGCTTTAGAGCCCTGATCTCAATTCTCCTTTGGGCCAGCCTGCTGGAGGTCACCGCGGCTCAGAGAGGTTATGTGGACACCTAAGGGTCACACAGCAAGCCAACAGCATTGTCAACCTTCCAATCCTGATCCTGAACCCATGCTCCTGTCACTAGAAAGGGCCACCTCCCCTTGACCTAGCAATGGCTTCGAGGGTGGGTCTACAACGAGATTCCCAAGGGTTCCCTTATCTAGAAGACAAGAATCATCTCAGAGGCCTGGTGGGGGGTGGGATGGGGGTAGGATGAGACGAGAGGGGTGAAGGCATACTTCCATGATTTTCCTCCTACACGTTGTTGAGATTTTTACTCAAGCATGCATTCTTATATCACCTTAAAATGTAAACAACATTTTAATTTACTCAAAAAAAAAGAGCAATAAATGAGAAAACTAACCTCCCGTTAAAGCAATAACATATTGCTCGGATTCTTACAAGCAGGCAGTTTTATTTTGTATTGTAAAAACACATTTTTTAACGATAGGATTAAAAAAATAGAGGGGGGGGAAAAACTAGCGTTCCCACAAAAATAAATATGTGAGAAAGAAGAGGTTGGAAGGGAAGACGTGCGTATGAGATGAAAGACTTGCACCTCGTTTACACTCGGAGGGTCCGGTGTTTCTCTTCCTTTCGAAGACGGGACGACTGAGGCCCACAGCCGGGAAGCGGCTGCCCGGGGTCACAGCCCCCACGACCTTGAAGGGCAGCCTCATAATGCCAATTATTCACAGCTGTTTTTCCTTCTCCTTGGCCTCCCAGTCTGCTGATGGCACATGATCAACCCCCAGGGTTTTTTTCCAGCATTTTTCAAGGCAAAATTCGGAAAAAGTGAGCCAAAAACGAATTTGGAAGAAAAAGGGGAGAAAAGATGTGCCGATGAGACAGAACTGGAACCGTGGACCCCAGTTTCCTGTCTTGTCTTCAACACCTCGCCTGCAGTTGGGGAGTTTCCAGTACAGAAAGCGGTTACAAATTCACACCTTCCGTTTCCGCTCTGCACCAGCTTTGAGGTGCTCTGAGAAGGCCCGTGTGCCTCCACCTCCCCAGTCGACAACACTGACTGCACACCTCCCAGGGGCCAGGCTCTGCCCCGGGATTCTGTGCCAAGCAAGACAGACCCACCCCTGCTCTCACATCGCTCCCAGTTGAGATGGGGCTCGGTTTTGTGCTATAATTGGGTTTTCCCATCAGCCTCTCCACACTGTATCCCCAGGGCCTGGCACCCAGTGGCAATTCAATAAAAGTTCATCAAATGGATGAAAAGTCAGACCCTCATTCCCCTCCATTCCTAGCTCCAGGACCATCTCTGCTGTAGCCTGGTGGGGCCCCAAATTTCAAGCGACCATGTATCACATGCTGACTGTGTGCCAGGCACCTCGTCTGTTCCTTTACATAGCTTTCCTTATTTAATATCCTCACCATCCTGTTAAATAGGTATCATTGCTCTCCATTTCATCAGAGAGAAAACAGAGGCTCAGAGAGGTTAAGGAAATAGTTTGTGGTCACAGAGCTAGCGAAGAGGACAGCTGGGATGCAGACCCGTGTCAGGCTGGTCCCACTGGGCTCTGTCAGGAGCTCTGCCCAGGGACAGGTGGCATGGCTTCAAATCCAACACATGTGCAGCCCGTGTCCTGCCATCCCTCCCTAGCCCTGCCGGCAGCACCCAGATCTGAAAACCTGTCCCCGTCACCAGCTCTGCCTTTATCCCCCTGAATAGATCCCTCAGCAAGTCCCACCCAATCTTCACCTTCCTCCACCCCCACCGTGCCCTGACCTGGGTCCCTGCCACCACACACCTGGGTCCCTGCCTCCCCACACCTGGGCTCCTGAGCCAGCATCCCTCCTCCGGGCATATACACCTAAAGTGGCCTCAGACCTAAGACCAGATTCATTTTTCCTCAACTTTCTGCTTTCATGACACATGTCCCTGCTTAAAAACCTCCAACGACCCTCACCAGCCAGGAGGCAGCAGAGCGCTCTGGTGAATGGCTTCAACGACCATCAGACCCTGTTCAAATCCTGGCTCTCTACTTCCACGCCATGTGAGCTCGAGCGAATCTGCCAATAGCTTTTGTGTCTCACGTTCCTCGGGTGTAAAAAGGGCGTCCTCGCCCTGGATTGTCCTCCTCCCAATTTCTAGGGTCATTACCATCTGTTCCCCAAGGCCACCAGCAATATCTACAATTCTCTCTCTTTCCGCATCTCTGAGCTCCCTAGTTGAGAAACCCAGGTCCCTGAGAACTGAGGCAGCCCCAGCTGGTTTCCCAGGAAAGAGTTTGAGATGAGACCCAACACCTGGCTCAGGGCTTGGCATATAGCAAGTGCTCAATAAGTGCACATGCATGAAGGCAAGGATTCCGCCACTTCTACCTGGCTTCACCAGCTCCCCCTCCTGGCCTCTCTCCCGGCGCTCAGAAGCAGAGATGTGAGAAGGCGCGTTTTTGCAGGCACTGGGGCCTTACTGGGAGTGAGGGCTAACTCACTTCCTGCCAGGCTCACTTGTGCACTACAGCTCTGAGCTGGAGGCCAGGCTACACTTTTCATCTGTTGAAGTGCTCTGTTTTCTTAAGTATCCCTCTCAATAGCTTCGGCTTTTGTTAAGCTAAGGGAATCAATTTAAATCTCCATACACTTGATTTCATCCCAGCAGTTTAATTAAAGGAACTAGCATCAGAGAGACCCGATATGTGAGGGCATCCTTTTGTATGCAAGCCTCTCCCTACAGGTCCAGGTCCAGGGGAAGCAGAGAGGGACAACCCCATCCCACAAGCATCTACCTGGCCCTCCACAGTGAGACTGGGGCGGGGGGTGGGGAGGGAATGTCCCAAAGATTGCATAGGACATATGTACACTAAACAATGTATTCCTTGTTTATCTGGAACGCAAATTTAAATGGGCGTCCTGAATTTGTATTAGCTAAATCTGGCAGCCGTGGGGTGGGGGTGTCAGTAACCGCTGGGGACAATGGTTCTTGCGGGGATGGGGGCTCAGTTAGTGCTATGGTTTCCAAACTCCTTATTCTCCCCGCCCTGAGCCTGGTACCTGTCCTTTATGCCATCAGAGTCCCGTGAATCACCAACATACCACTTACTTAGCCTCATCCTAAGAGTTAATATCCAGGAAATCACAGGTTTGCTGTGCTAATCACATTTCCCCTCACGCTTGTTAAAGAAACGTATCCCCGCCAGATCTGTGAGATGCAGCGTGGGGTTCATGTGTGATCCGCCTGGGGAACAGGCATGAAATAGGGGTCACGCTCCAGAAACCCTGACTGAATGGGGGGACGTGAGCCCATCTTCCCAAGCCTCTTTCCAATCCTCTCCTGTCTTTCTTCTTCCTCTAGGGCTTGTTTTAAAACTGAAGCTCTAGACGAGGTTGGCTTTGGGGTCCCCCCGCAGCCCTCCGTAGCGTCTGAGTTACTCCCATTTCTCCGTGTCCAGCTCTCTCTTTGCCTCTACTTGTTGGAAAGCTTCCTGAGGTCCGGAGCACGGTCAGAATAGGTGTCTGTATGCTCACCCACCAACCACTTTCGAATAAATCCAGCACCTCCCCTGCTGCTCGCAGCGGCCCTAGGTCCGCGGGGTGTGAAGTCCCAGCCCTACGGTGCAGCAGCAGGATGCCCTCATTCTAAAGCCCGGCGACCATGACATAGTAGCCGTGCGGCCCCGCACAGCTCTCAAGTACCCTCTGAGTCTGTGTCCTCATCTGTAAAATGGGCATGATATTACCAGCTGTTCCCAGGTGGCTGTGAGAGTCAAATGGGACCCCTCGGCACGGAGCCTGACACACGAGAGGCTTTCCATAGCTTTTCATTCGCTTCCTTTCCAAACGGAGGCGACAGGTTCAGAGATGTCAGGCGATTTGCTCAAGGTCACGGTTGCACAGGAAGTGGACGAAGCAGCCAGCATGTGAGCCCGGCTTTCCCATATTCTTCCCACTACCCCGTGCCACCTTCATCCCAGCATCGTACCTGGCACACAAGAACCAGTTAGTAAATGGTGAAGGGATGGGAGACAGCGCCCCCCTGCTCTCCCAGTCTCACTGCCGTTCGCTTCCCCTTGTCGCATGGTTTGTGCGATGTGAAGTTGGAGGTGGCACCTCTAAAGGTCTGCATCTGGTTCTTTCCGCCCCAGAAAACTAAGCGCTTTATGTGTTTCTTCACTGAAACATTACTTTCTCTGACCCACTGAAGCCAGCTCTGAGTTAGATGATATCTGGGTACAGGGGCGAAGAGGCTGTGATTGTCAGGGCCTTCGAGGGGTCTCCTACAGATGGGGAGACTGAGGCCCAGAAAGCACGGGGTCGTATCCAGGGCCACAGAGCGAGGCAACGGCAACGCCCACACCCTGAGGCTAATGAACCAAGAAAACATCCACGCTGCCCAGAACTCACGGGACACGAGCCCCCGGAGAAAGGAGAGACAGGTGCAGAGGGTGATCGAGTGTCTAATATTGCTCAGCCTGCACAGGGGCGCCCACGGGGAGGACAGGGAAGGATAAACGAATAAAGGCGGCTTTATTTTATTTGTCACCATGGGCATCCTATTTATCACCAGTGATGGAGGAGCGCAGGGAGGACCACGGGAGTGCCCTTCATTTTAAGGCAGGGGAAAGACTCCTCCATCATCCACAGCCCATCGAGGGACAGGCTCGGATTTGGGACACTCCAAGGAGAACGTGAAGGGACTTCAGGAAGGACAGGACACTGATTTCCCCTGAACTTGGCCAACCACAAGGAGCAGGAATTCACTTCCTCTGGGTCTGAGGGGGCACAGGAGCAGAGGGGAGGAGGCCCTTGGAGCAGCGGAGAGTGCTCAGCAGGATTGGGAGTGAGCCCAGCTCGGTAACAGTTCCCTGGTACTCCCTAAGAGACCTGGGGAACATAACTTTACCGCCCTAAGCC